TAAAGGAAAACTTTTTCGTAAATTAATTAAGTAATTAAAATTTGTAAGTATCTGTAACAGATACATGAAAAATGGCTCACCATATTTAGAAAAGCTGCAAAAGAGCTCTTTTCTCAGCTGTTGTTTTAAATAAATATTGATAAAAGTCAGACATAAACTACACATTACAGCACCCTTCCCAATCTTTCCACATATTATATTTGTGCTTACATACCCGTTTTTATATACACACATCTATTTCTATAAGCTTGAGCTCATAGGAGTGTATATGGTTTTCGAATGCAAGTTTACCCCAGTGCAGCGCGCTGCCGTCATCAATAATGCAACGAAATGTGGGTCAGTGTAATAGAGCCAGTCGCGCCAACACTACTGCTGGACGGAGGCTGCATGCGTATGCACGACTGGCCACGACATCCGAAAGCAGTCAGATCACGCAGCGTCGCCAGCATCAGTTGCAGCTGACGACAGTTCACTGCCTCTTCGACGGCTCGATGGGCTGTCGTGTGGTGCCGCGTGTATTTATGAGACCACTTGTTTATTGCACTCGCCCTGTGCTGTGCTCCCTGTCCCCCTTACAGTTTCTTTTCCTCGCTGCATTCTCCAAAACTGGGCAAACCCGCACCAATAATATCTGTCGCCCGTAAAGTAATTGGCCGAAAATTTATTTCTGTTTTTTTAAAAAGCAAAACAAAAAAATAGAAAAGTGACAAGCCGTCTAGTAGCCAATTAGGCGATTAGGAAATGTATTAAAAGCTTGTTTCCATTTCAGGTGGCGGTGCAGAGCAAATTCCCGGAATTCTTGCCGAACATACTTATGGGTTGCTGTCGCTACATCGCGTGGGTGTTGTCAAAAATTTGTTTCGATTAGTTTACACTGCGTGACGCGTGTCCCAGCCTAAGTGTAGTTATGGCTCGCACAACTCATGTTGATGTTGATGGATTTATGTTTTAATTTTGCTGTTACTTTGGCTTTAATTTTTCTGTCACGATAAATTTGTAGTTTACAGATTTGATTGGAAAGTTGTTTATGTTTCTTTAATTAGTTCGGTGTTGAATTTTGGGGAACTATGCGCAAAAAATAGTAACACTTTGCTCATAATTTTAAAACTCTTAATTTATTCTTCCAATTCTCGAAACAGTTGTTAAATTCAATAGTCTTCGCTCAGTGAGGCGACTCACGTTTAATGTCTTCAATTGACTCTACTCCCGGAGTGATAGTTTAAGTTTGCTGAATAGCTAAAAGTCATATGGAGCTAAATCAGACGAATACGGTGGTTGCGGCGCATATTGAGTGAAAATCTCACTGGTGCAAGAACCAATCTTTTTACGAATAGCTTCCCACAAGCGAACCCGATTTCGCACAAGAAATTTATTTACTGCACTTTCACTTTACGTTCATTCGAATTTATCTTGGGGACTTTTTTGATGTTTTCGTCGGTAACAGCCTCTTTCAGACGTCCACTGTTTTCATCGTTGTCGGTGATCATTTCGCCTCGTTTAAACTGAGCAAACCATTTCTCACCGGACGGTTTATTTATACACGAAATTCCTTTTCATCCATACTTGTAAACTGACACAAGCTATTTCAATCAAAATCCTATAAATCACAAACTAATGATCCTACAGCTGTCAAATTTATACACGCGCCTTTCGAAGGTTAGTGTTGACTAAAAATCACATTTCTTTAATACCATTGGTACCATTTATCTATCAATCTACTAACTTTTCAGCTCACCTGTTAGCTGCCATACAACCTGATCGATCAAAAATAAGTTCTTATATGGAAAACTTTTTCATTTGGCAAGTTATCTTCACGATATTTGCCATTATTATCCAAAACAAAGCTACAATCTCCGAACATATTGTTGGCAATTGTGAAAGATTTCCGTACAAGCACTTGATACCGATCGTTCAGTTTGTATGGCAGATATATGTTATAGTGTTCCGATATCCGCAGTTTCGATAAATGAGCAGCTTCTTGAAGTAAAAATAACGTTAAAAAAATTTCAAAACGATATCTTAAAAACTGAGGGACTAGTTCGTATATATTATATATAGAGAGACAGACTCAGCTCAACTTACTGACCATTTATATTTACACTTTATAGGATCTCCGACACCTCCTTCTGGGTGTTACAAACTTCGTGACAAACTTCATATATATCCTGTTCAGGGTATAAAAACTTGTTCAAAATAATATTTCCTTGGCCATATTCAATTAGTTCGTCAGCAAAATTCTACTAACTGGACTTAAACTTTTCTCTCAAGAACGCTATTGGTCAGTTTCGAAATAACATTATCAGTTATAAATATTTATTATCAATTTTCCAGGAAAATGGACACAAAACCTAAATCCCCCTATACTCACATGCGACACTGCGGTGGTAAACGTCAATAAACAAGCGTAAAACAAAGCTAAAGATAAAGATATTCAATGATATTTACCAGCTATTAAAATGTTGACATATTACCATATAGATACATGCTTTGTTCTCTCAGTACATGTATATGAGTATACAACATCTCAATTTGTCCGATAAGCAAAAATTCAGAAACAAAAAAAGTTATAAAGAGAGAAAATAGATATATATTCTTATCTACTTTTGTAGCTACTTCCACTCATACAGGGCTTTCCAATAAGGGTGATATGATTTATCAAAAAAATAACTCATAAATGCAAATGTTTTTAATTTAATGTGAAGTACAATCGATACAATTAAGCTATCCACGGCCTCCACGACTTCTTTTGCAGAATCGAATTCGGTGAACATAATTTTTGAGTACTCTTTCCACTGAATCAAGTCGTATCTCATGAATACCACGTTCAATATTGACTTCTAGTGCTTGAAAGGAGTCGGGTTTATTGCTAAAGACCAAAGACTTTAAATAACGCCACAAGAAGTAGTCTAATGCTGTTAAATCACAATTTCTTAGAAACAATTTCATTAAATAATCGAACCCAAAATTATCGCAATAATTCGGTTTCGGCACGTGGTTTGTGGCACGTATCTTCGTCTTGTTGGAACCAGATGAACATCAACTTCTTTCAGTTGCGGGCATAAAAATTGGTTATCATTGATCTATACCGCTTCCCATTGACAGTAACGGTGTACGAAGTACGAATTGATGATTTCAACAGACCAAAAATCACACCTAACTGTCAATTAAGGTGAATGTAATGGTTGTTCATTAATAATTTGTGGATTTACTTCACACCAGAATCGAAAGTTTTGTTCATTGACCGCACCATTCTCAAAAAACTCATTATCGTTTTCAAGTTGTTCCAAGCCAAAATCAGCAAATTCACGACATTTACGTTGGTTCAATGGCTTCAGTTCCTAAAAGAGAACAATTTTATACATACGCAACCCCAAATCTTTCCTCAAAACCCGACAGGTTGCGGTTTAAGACAGTCGCAATGCTTGAGAACGTCTTGGAAACGACAAATTGCTTGAACAGCAGCTAAATTGTCACTACCTCGAGCGGTTCTTAATCTTATTGTAACTTGAATATTATGTAAAGAAAATGTACGTTCGACTTTGAAATTAGAAATCATATCATCCCTATTAGAAAACCCGGTATAGCCCTTACTCTTAAAATGAGTTATTTTTCTAAAAAAAACTTTTAAATTTATTGATCCCAAAATTTCTACAGATATTATGGTATTTAACTGTACTTTAAGACTTCTTCGATTAATTACTAAAACATATAGCATATTTAGGCTAGCTCGTATTAAAATTTGAGCCAAATAGGTTTAACCGATTTCAAGTAATGTTGGTCCCCGACTTTGAAAACACCATTTTGAGAAAAACGCATTTAAAGTTTTTCCTTGTACTTGTATAACTTCGAAAATATTCAACAGAACGATATGAAATTTTCTGTGTGTATTCTGAAATATATGTTGATTATGAAAATAAAAGAATTTTTTTGAAAATTAAAACTGTATATAACCCCACAAGAATGAGCCTAAAACATGTGGGACTATATTTTCATAATTTTGACAGAGACTTACAGTTCTAACTTAAAACCTTCAGATTTTAAGTTTAATGGTTTGACAGAGTATTCATTTAAATAATTTGAAAATAGAGTGAGTGTGTTATGAACTAAAAATTATAATTACATCCATACTATATCTTTCATAGCACGAATTGTTATTGAAATTATATGCACGCTTAAAGTGTACCCACTATTAGGCGCAAGACTGTATTGCATATTTACATTTTACTTTACATTCACATACAACGAATTGAGAATACCTAACTTCAACAACGTTCTTAAAGCGGGCCTATTTACTTACACATATGCCATAGAATTGGCTGTAAACATTTCGTTGCGCTTACTCAACTACTGATAACACCTTAGCACTTGAGTATTTGGCTAATGAGAACAGTCGGTAGATCGCGAGACAGTGTCGCGATAACATTAAATTACAAGGTAATTTTTATTACAAACTTCTCTTCTCTTATGTAGCATTCAAAATGGTTGAGACACCATATTCACTTATAAATTTTTTTGCTAACACTTCTTAAAATTTAGTTCGGTGTGAGGAAATAAGTGAAATAGAACGCACCTTTTTGGATCATAGGATCCGTCTGTGTAGATAAAGTCATACGCGTTTTCTTCTAATCGAACTCAGTCAAAAAATCTGATATTTACTTTCGTCAAAACGTTTTTTCTGCATATGTGATCCTTTATAAGTTTCGGATAAGCTTGTTTCCTCAGACTTCGCTTATTTTAAACCACTGATTCGTTGTTGCAAAATTTAGACTTTTTATTCCATACAAGAACCAGAAGAACCTATGCGACTTCTGAATATAACTCTAAACGAAATTTGAAATATAATCCATAGATTACATTTTGATTAAACTCGTAACACTGTGCCACGTTCCGTCTGTCAATTCCACCTGAAATCGGTGTACTTGTGTTGGCTAGATAAAGCTGCCTTACTCAAGCTCTAATGGAGTACGACAATATTGAGTCATTCGCGTACAGTTACTGGAGACATGCAGCGGACTGCAGCGAAACGTTCGACAATACAAAAACAACTCATCGACGCGTACATAAAATATTTGATTTAATGTTTTGCGAGGTCGACGTGGAATATTCGCAAGTGAAAAGCGTGTAAAAATGTAAAATAAGTGAGAAATCAGTATTTGCAATAGCGACACAGTGATTGGACTTTCCAAAAAACAAAAATACGATGCGAAATAATTTGGAAACGTATACGAAATTGATAAAAGTGTTCAAAATTATATAAAACGTATTTTATTATATTCTTAAAGGCGTAGTAAATGCACTGGTGTCTGTGTCAAGTAGAGTAAATATTTAAACTACAAGAGTATTTACATACACATACATAAATGATAAAGTTTTTTACAAAATCAAAAATGTATACCTCAGAGCTAATGGAACATATTGGTGATTACCTAAGTAACATCATACACTTACAAGTAATGGACATGGCCAAAGGCCAAAACCAAGGTAAGTTTGGTATAAAAAGGTGTTGCTAAATAACGGAAAGTATGAACTCGCCTTATATATACTAACTTGAGAAACTTATGAACGTAATTTGGTCAATACTCTGCCGAAAACCAGAGAGATTGATGTGTACAAATGAGTAGATATGAAATCTAGAGCCCTTTAAATGAAATACCATCACATAAAGTAAACAAAACCCACACTGACTTAAAAAAAAAATACATAAACAAGTTAAAACTATTGTGAAAATTAAGTTAATAAAAAAGTACGTACTCTTTATATAATTGTAGGGAAGGCTAAACCGGTATCAATGGTTTACTTTGAATTGTTCTATGTAATAATAAATGATTCAAAGAAAAAATTAAGAATGTTGTAACCTATTTCAAATTTATGTGTAATAAATTGATAAGATAGCACTGTGGACTCCAAACTAAAGAAGTAATGCCGCCTGGCTAGCTTTTGAAGTCAATACTATTTGTAAGTTAAACGAATTCATACAATATGTGTATTAAACATAAGATGACTTTGAATTGAAAATATTTTTGAATAGTGTTGCCAACTTTTTAAGAGGTTTTATTCAATTAAATTGATGAAATAAATGATATGGGAGATGTCAACCCGAGCACATTTAAGTAAAGTTTCTACCAAATATATTACTGACAGTAATTCAAGTTCATTTTCAAACTAAGTAATGATAAAGCTAAACCGATTCTTTGGTGTATTTAGATCAACGGCGATCAGCTGCTTGGTCCTCACAAACCAATCAAATTATTCGACCACGCTAATACAAGGGCTTGTTGGGTATAACACTCGAATAGTTTAAAAACCCGTTATTTAAATAAAATTGATAAGTTATACAAGTTGTTAAAGTATAGTTATGCAACTAAAGATGTTGATTGGTTGTTCGTATTTGCTTTTCTCCGGCACTATAGCAACTACCATGTGAATATGGAGCTCTCTATAGGAGCACTAAGCGTTAAGCTAAAAATAATGCAAATTGCATGGAACTTGTAAATATTCTTGTACTATCATAATCGATGTCATGAATAAATCCCATAAAAATTAAATTTGAAATATACGCTTATACGTCTCTTTATTGAATTCAGTTTAGCGCTCAAGGAGGTTTGCAGTTTTATATGCACGAAAAATAATTATTTTATGATTGAAGATTTGCTTCTAATACACCTCGCACTCTTAGTAGGTTTCGAGTCGCATGGCTGATTCGACCTTAGATTACTTAATATGGTTGAAGAAGTTTAGTTAACAAGAACAAATAAATTTCTCTTATAAAAAATACTCAAACACAGCATATCACACGATCTTGGTGGCCAATCGACCGGCCCAAAACGTGAAATTAACCAAGTTCTTGTATCTAAACTTTTTTATTTTATTCTGAAGACTATTTTAGCTTCGGTTCATCTGAAGTTTTTGTTTAATATTTCCAAATCATTTTCGATTAGGTTGTATTATAATGACATTCCCAGGTTCTTTATTTTCGAAGACCTTTGCACTACTTGTTAATACACACTTCATTTTTAAGCAATTCCGAGAAAAGCTTTCTTCGTATGCCTCGTATTTATTTTCAAGTGTAAATATGTCATGCACGAATGCATTTTTGCACATTCCACTTGTTGTATTTATAACCCATTAATTATAATTCACATATGTATATATAAAATCAAGCATTCAATAGACACACCTTGGATAAATCGTCGCAATTATTCAGCTGTTACATTTGTAGGTATTTGAACCAAATTTTGTACTTGTAGCCGATAAAAACTTTGTGAGCAAAAAATTTTACAAATTTGTAAAGCAAAATTTTAATGAAGGGAAAATAATAATTGTCAGTAGGTATGTATGGTACAAAGCGATACATATGTAATTGTATTCTCATATTGGCACATATGTATGTATGTGCCGTGAAAGTACAAACATACGATATTATTCCCTTGCTCTCTTTAATATTTGGGGAAGCCAGCTTTGGAGCACAATTCCAGTCGTTATTTATATTCTTCGAAAGATATGCATTATTATACCCTGAACACGGTATATTAAGCTTGTCACGATGTTTGTAACACCCAGAAGGAAGCGTCGGAGACGCTGTAAAGTATATATATAAATGATCAGTATGTTGAGCTGAGTCGATTTAGCCATGTCCTGTCTGTCTAACCGTCCGTCTGTCCGTCTGTCTGTATATATACGAACTAGTCCCCCAGTTTTTGAGATATCGTTTTGAAATTTTGCAAACATCATTTTCTCTTCAAGAAGCTGTTCCTTAGTCGGAACTGTAGATATCGGACTACTATAACATGTAGCTGCCATACAAACTGAACGATCGGGAAAAGTTCTTGTATGGAAAACTTTTGCATTTGACAATGCATCTTCACGAAAGTTGACACATGTTATTTTCTAGGGCATTAATGTAATATCCGAAGAAATTGTTCAGATCAGTTATAGTAAGCATATAGCTGCCATACAAACTGAACGATCGGAATCAATAGCTTGTATGGAAAACTTTCGCATTTTACGTGGTATCATCAAAAAATTTGATATGGATTACTGCTTAAGGTAATAATATAATCTCCGAAAAAAATTGTTCAGATCGGATTACTATAGCGTATAGCTTCCATACAAACTTAACTCATAGTTACTAAAACAATGCACCTGTGAAGGGTATATTAGCTTCGGTGCAGCCGAAGTTAACGTTTTTTCTTGTTTTTAAATACATACACTCATACATCCCAGTCACTACTAAGCGTATACGTTAACCCGATAAGTGTTGCGCCTTTATCAATAATTTTATAATTGTTTACGCATGAGCTCACATATTTTTCCTTCGACTCTTTTGCCAACACAATTGATACTTTTTTGGCGTTAATTTATTCTTCAATAAATTTATTTCACAGCGCAATCCGTTAAATATACATATGTTATCTGGATATCTACCGATATGATTAAACAATGGTTTTTAATACGCAGCAGAGGAGAGGTTATATCAAGCTCAAAACACGCTCTTAATTGTGTGAAATTGGAGGAATTTAAGTAATTTAACTAATTCGTAATTGTTCAAAATTTATCAAACAATTGAATAATTAAATAACTTTCTAATTAGTAATTAAATTATAAAAAAAATCAATGTCAATAAAAGAAATAACAAAAACCGAAAATGGTTTGTTATAAATTGGAAAGTCCAGCGACTAATGTCTTCTGATGTTTCCAATAGTTACCGAGTTATTTATCTGTTCAAAGCTTCAAAGTACAATCATAACTTGGTCAGAATTGTGCGAGAAGTCCTTCTTTAAGTTATAATCCTGGTTATTCGCGCGGAAGATTTATAAACAAATTTTATAATACCACGTCATATATATAGAGATTTATTCATTCTCATATCTTTAAGCTTTGCTTCAGTTTACATAATTTCTTCCTCTGCAATTTGCAAAGGCAATTCGAAAAAACGTTACCTGCAAACAGGGGTGATACATTTCGAAGTTCGTTATTTTTTTTTTTTTTAATGAAAAACACAGACACTTCAAATTTAATGGTATTGTTTATTATCATTTGAAAGAACATTGTTTGGCATTTACTTTTTGAAGATTAACTCTTTCAAACTTTCGACTGGTAACTGGCGAATGACACGCGTAATGTTTTGCTCTAAAGCCTGAATCGAAGCGGGATTATCCGCATAGACTTCAGACCTTAGATATTCCTACAGAAAAATGTCTAACAATGTGATTTCACACGATCTTGTTGGTCAATCGACCGGCGCAGAACATGAAATTATCTGCTCACCGAAGTGTTCTCTCAATAAATCCTTCATGCGATGTGTGGGAATTGATGCCGTCTTGTTGAAACCAAACGTAGCCGAGACCACGAGCTTCCATTTCAGCAAACAACTGCTCGGTTATCATGGTGTGAGAACGGTCCCCATTGACGGTTCCCTTCTCACCGTCATCAGTTTTGAAGAAATATAAACCGATGGTTCCACCGACCCACAAATCACACAAAACCGTTATTATAGATGAAATAGTAACTCTTGAATCTCTCCAGGTTGTTATTAGTTCCAAATGCTTCAATGTTGCTTGTTTACGTATTCATTGAGTAAAAAGTGGGCCTCATCGCTGAACAAACTTTGGCTCGAAAATGTCGGATCTTCTTGAAATTTTTCACGAGCCCATAGAGCAAAGAGATGTCGCTTGGGAAGTTCAAGCGGCTTCAGTTCTCGCACAAGTTATATTTTGTATGCTTTCAATTCAAGATCTCAACATAAAATGCGGCAGGTCGTTCCATACGTCAGTTCAAGGCGCCTAATCAACTCCACTACCTTGGTGTACACTCTCAGCTACGGCTGCTGTGTTTTCTTCAGTGTGTGCTGGACGTGGTATATTCGTTCGAATATTATTCAATAATTAGTGCTGAGTCTCAGGATGGGTGATGACGCTGCGGAGAGTATGCTCAGTAGCCGTGAATATAAATTGAGAGAAGCGTGAAAACACTTTCTTCACAGAACGTGAATTTTCGTAGTAAAATTGAACGATTTATAAATGTTTTTCAGACGTAAGTCTTTTTATTATGAAATGTCAAACAATACTAAGCAAAAAAACATGACAGCTTGACACGACTCATGCTACCATTTTAATTTACTGTACAGTATAAAAGCCGTTTCAAATTCTACATTGTTTTATAATAAAAAGTCTTGCGGTATTTTTTTATTTATATTAATTTTTTTATTTTATAACGGTTTGATGACTCATGTCCAGCTCTTGGCCGATGCTACGGCTGCTACTATGCCAGTCTCTTTCGACCAATTCAGCAATTTTATGGCAATTTTCGACGACAGGCCTTCCGGAGCGTGGCGCATCTTCCACCACCTATACACCAGAACGAAAACGCATCGTTGTGCGGTGGAAATGGAAACTGTATCGGGTTCATAAACTGCACAAATTTTATTGGCGGCTTGAGATGCATTTTTGCCTTTATCATAGTAGTACTGTAAAATATGCCGT